TTGCTCCTAAGTCTTTTGGCGATGCTGCTTCCAGCACGTGTTTGAGTCACGGCGGAAAGAACACTCTTCAAGGCACCAATCTGCTCGAGCAGTCCGTCTACTGCTGGCATGAGTGGCAGCCAGTCATGACAGGCAATTTACATCCCATAGAAATATGGTTTATTAAGGGGAGATGAGAGTCATAATAATATAACTGTTGGGGTTTAACGTTCCAAAACCATCATATGATTATGAGAGACGCCGTATTGTTGGGCTCCGAAATCTTGACCACCTGGGTTTCTTTAAACGTGCACCTAAATCTAAGCACACGGGCCGCAAGCACTTTCACCTCCATTAAGATTGTGGCTGCCGCAGCCGGGATTCGATCCCGCAACCTGCAAGTCAGGAGTAGAGTGCATTAGCCACTAGATCACTGTGGGGAGACTAGCAGAAAAATGTTTTTTTTTTTTTTTTCAAAAATTACACATCTTTTGTTTTTATTTGTTTCCACAAGTATAGTTTCTCTACTTTTACAGCAAAAAAATGAAGATTGTAATTAAACTCAAAGTAGGGTAAAATTGCTTAAGAGCACAGAAGGCTGCTAAAGACTAAACTGAGCTTATTCTCTATAAAGTACCCTGGAAATTGTCACCTCGGTGCTTGCCATTGCATTTCGCATGAGCGGTTAACTAAAACCACATGCTCAAAATAACCATTATTTCCGAGCTTTTATGATGAAAGAAATCGCTTGAAAAAATATTAAGTGAAACCTCGATTATACGACTTTCAGGGGACCACGCAAAATTGTCGTATACTAGAACAACTAAGATTATGGGCAGTGACACTCAGCCTTGCCAAAAAAACGGGTAAAGGCTGTCTGAATAAGCCCACGGCATGACCTTGCACTTCTGCAAGAAAGGCAGATTAAATAATTCTTGCCAGTGCCAGCTAAAGGCAGCATTACTTAGTTGAAGGAAAATGTGAGCAAATACTTATTCGCAGCCTTAAAAAAATCTAATCCAACGCGCACATGAACATGAAACTATGTTGCCAACAGCCTCCCGTCAGAAGAGTCGGGCGCCGTGCCAGTATAGGTGTTTTGTGGTGCCAGCCCTATCACATAAAGGCGACAGACCACGAGTTTTTGTACAATGTCTTCGTGCGCGACTGAGCAGTGCTCAATGTAATTTGTTCCCTCGTGAAGTGCAACTAGTGGTGTCTTGCTCTTACCATAAACATTTACATCAAGTGAAAGTAATTTCGCACGGTGATAACAGCATCGTCGCACCCTTATGCGTTCGCAGGCCTGTTACTGAGAGTACGACAAAGGCAGGAAACCAGCTGTATGTCAACCAGGAAAGGTTTCCATGAACCAAAAATATAAAAATATCAGCTTTTCGGTCAGCTGAAGCCACTCTATATAAATGGACCTTGACTAGGTAACGACTCTGAATACATACACACATGATCGATGCGTATGTAGATGCGCATAAACTTCCAGGAGAATCATCTTTTTATTCTACGAGAAAATTCTTAATTTTTCTTTTTCCTTCTCGGACTTTTTCTCGGAAATTTTTCTCTTTCCGAACTGAATTAGACAGTCATCGTAAGATGCGGGGTGAGCGTAAAGCTACGTCGTATAACCAAGGTTTTTAATACATTATATATATGGCAATGTTGCCATGACCAAACCATCATAATATGACCATCATAAAATGAGGCTCGTCGTGAAACCAGGGGACATATAATCGAAGTTCCATCGTATCTTTTCTGCATAGACAAGCCTTCATTTATACCTTTAAAATGGGTTTTTCTAGATACAATTTAGGGCAATTTGGGTTTCGACATGTTTTTAGTACTTCCGATAGCAAGATAGAGATGAAATTTTGCCCACATGTTTCTTAAGACGTGAAGAGTGAAACTCTCTCTTTTACAACTTGATATTGCTTATTATTACAAACCTAAAGTAAGCAATTAGTACGGTATGAGCATTCCCAGACTTTGCACGTTACAATGTTGTTTGTCTATTAAAATGTCTTATATGCACTTTCTGGTTGCTTATTTGCATTCTACAGTAAATGTAGAGCAATATGAGCCAGGCTCAGAACCATAAAAATTTAGTGAAGCGTGTCCAAAAATAATATTTACACATTGTCATGGTGAAAAATGAAAATTAAGTAACTTACTATAGAACTGATTACATATTTGAAGTGAGCATAAAAGACTAAGACTACACAGAACACTGTATCTTTACATCAACCGTTGGTATCCCACAGCCAACCCAGCTGTGCAAGTTTTTTTTGCACTTACAAAATAAAAACATACAAAAGTAGGAATAAACTGAGAACCTGGTGAATTTAGCTTTAGTTGTAGAAGAAAACAAGCGTCTTCATACGAGGACTCTGGGAAAGCCAGCTCTACGATGTCCATGATCCTTCTTCAATGTACATGGGAACTTTGCCCTGCAGACAACTCTGCTTTCAATGCATTATTCATTATCATCCAATCAGTTCAGTGCAATGTTAATTACACTATAATACACATTCATGTGGCTGCTTACTAATGACTCTTGATTAAACACTTTCATAACAATTGTTCGTTCTTGCCATTATAAACACCTCACGTTCAATGCTTTTATCACAACCACTGTTACCACTAATCAAGGCCCACTTGCTTGCCGACAGCTGTACTTCACCGTGTTCGTCATTGTAATAATTGTTGATCATTACCAATTTATTCATGATTATGTTCAAAATGAATGCTTTCATCTTCAGCGGTAGCACTGTTCAAGAGACCTGTGCGTGTTGACTGTTTTAACGTGCTGGTTGTCCGTATTCTCCAAAGAGCCACATTCGCTTCTGCTAGTGAGCTCAAAATGTAGGGCATGTATGTCTTAATCACTTCATGCCTGTCCAGAGTAAAAGAAATAAATTTAAAACTTAACTTCTAAAAGGTGTATTTAACTATATTACCGATGTTTTGTACAGAGCCACACTGCAATGAACAAGTCCTACTAACATTCGGCTTTGTATGAGCTTCTTACATGAATTCTCTTTGACGTCCACAAACATGGATACCTCAGGAAACTAAACTTAAAAAACTTTGGCCATTAACACTGAAGTTTGTTATGTTTTGCCCACACATGTGGATGCTGCAGTGCGCAGGGCCAGGGAAATGTAACTTACCGATTCAGCATGTTCCTTATGTGGAAGCTCAATGACAAAGCCTTTTGGCAGACAGATATCTGCATTTAACTCAAGAAAGAAAATTTACATTTATTGATCAATATCTTTCATTGGGACATCCATTAAAGCACATCTAATCCTGGGCATTTGACAAGTTTCCAGTCTCCAAACCTTTATATTCACATCCAAAATACAGAGAAACAATAGTTAAATGCGACTGTTTTACAATAATTACAGGACACTTTTCGTACATATGTGAAGTCACATTACATACAACAAAGTGTGATCACTTGTCCAACAAATATACCAAGTGCCAGACAATCATAATGCTACCTAATAAAACTAGATGAGTGACACATCTTCCCATGTAGTCCCAAGTTCTTTGATGCTTTATCAACACGCACACACATACACACAAAAGCCCTAAAATGAATGTCACTGATGAATGACACACATACACAACAACACCCACCACTTTCACAATGTAAACTAGTGAACGTTTGGCAAATGCCAAGTTCTTTCATGGCTAAAGTGAAAGCAAACTGCACCGCGAAAAGATACCGCATGAATCGCAATGGTGTACTCTCGCATGTGTTTTCCTAACAGATTGCTGTTAGCTTAGAACACCACTAAACAAGATATCATGCAGCTTCCTCAAAATAAGCGACATTCGAGCAAGCTGAACAATAAACAGAGGTTTTGCAACAATCACCAGAAACACAGTAATTTCCAGTGGTTGGAAATGGTCAGCCCTGCATAACAAGTGGTTTTCAAACAGGGGCCCCAAAAGCTTCGGGCCCCAAATCCTTTTGAGTGTGCCCACTTTGGGTAAAGCAGCAGCGAAGAGTTTTTGAATAGGGTCTGCGGCGCTTTGGACACTGCCCCTTCACTTCGATCGTTGTCGTCATGTGTCTGATGCAAAGCTTTTGGGGCAGGCTTTGGGGCTCCCGCTAAATTCAAGAAATACATACCTGTCAATCTGGCAACAGAGAAATTCGTAAAACGCCCAAGCGAGTAAGGGGGGGGGGGGACAGGCATAATCATGTTTTGCCGACGGTTTCGGTACTCAAGTTCATATCACATGCCGTGATTAAGAAAAGTGTTCGGAACATTCAAATTTCGGCCTAATGGACACATCAATTTGGCTGGGGAATTTCATGAATTTAATATCTGCTGTGGTTTCGCATCACTGAGACTATACTGTACACTTAGATGAACACTTCTTAAATTCGTTAATAAAATGTGGTGGGCTCGCAAAAAGCCCAGAACGGACTGACCTGCATTTTTGTCAATGCAGCCAGATCTTGCACACAAATTTTACTTTCCGGGAGATTTTCATTGTAACTGTACAAACTGAAGAAACGGTTGAAATCCGAAAGTCTCCCGGACAATGCGGGATACTTGGCAGGTATGTGGTGATGGTAACACCAATACATATTGATCTCTTTAGGTGGCGGAATATAGAACAATGCCATTTTTGTGGCATCCACGACTAGCTACGGCAATACACCATAGCCAATCGCAGAGGCCACGCATTTTACAAATTTTATTTTTTTATGGAAATAAAATATTTTTCGTAAAATTTCAGGCAAGATTCATAAAATCGTAAGCGCAGTCATATTTCGTACATTTTACGAAAAATTGGAATAGTTGGCAGGTATGGAAATAGCGTCCGTAACGCGAAACCGAAATGCAGATTGGATTATGTGCATGTGCAGTGGCCTTGACGCCACTTCTTTGGGGCCCCTATTCGAAAACTCCCTAATGGTCAATTTTGCAGTAGCACTCGTCATAATACCACTATTGTACACGTCGAGGTGACTGGATCATTACACATCACTGCCCCCCTCCCACCCCATCATTGCTTTTAAATACAGTCATTTGTTATATAAAAAATGTCATTTGGACGAGAGTCAGAGGCAGTACCTGTTGTGGTGCTGGGGTGCTACACATTCCATTATTCTATACTGAAGATTACCTGCGCGAGTAATGCAGTGCCCATGCCCATCAGTGATGAAGCAGCATATATATATATACAAAGAAGTTAAAAGCATCCCTCCCAAACAAGGCCCGAATCCCAATGCAATGGAAAAAATCTTGACAGCTCACCAGTAAAATTTTTAGAAAGGATTGTGGTGGAACTCACACCACCATCAACTTTCTTGCCACTACAGATAATCTCAAACATTCATACACAACTTTTCAACTTTAAGGCACTGCTCAACCATGCCATATCTTAAATTAAAATACAGGTTATTTCAAAAGTCTTATTAAGTGAGAGTGTGTGATATGTACATTTCACCCATTCAACTGCTGGATTCACTGTCCGAGTCACTACTGGAGTCACTACTACTTGAATTACTAGTGGAATCACTGCTTGATGAAGCAGACTTCTTTGCTGACACTGCTGGAGGTGCAGCAATCAAGTCTGGAACTGGTGCTGGCTTTGGAGCAGACTTCAGGTGTTCGCGTAGGTCAGCCCTGCATAACAAGTGGTTGGAAATGTAGCAGCTTCTTTCTCTCCGATTGTGATCCATCTGATTCAAAGTGGTACAACATAGGAATCAACTATGCAAAACACAACTGAAATCCAAAACTTTCAGTGGCAATGCAATATATGTGTGCAGTTTTCCCAACAAAATTTTTGGTCTTCCTAAATGACAAGTATTAGAAAAAGTCACTTGTTCAAACTCTACCCGGACGGATAATACTGGCCGAAAGTACACTGATCATTTCTTTGCCATTTAAATTAATAAAAAGAAAGGACATTCAGATGTGCTCGTGTGTCTCAATGCTTGCAAAAATTCACACTTCATGTACAGATAAGTTCCAAGCCAGATGAATGCTTGAAAGCAGCAACAATGACACCCTGGACCATATTTTGACTTGCCTTACTATCATGGCACGGTGTTGTATCTAAAAGATTTTCGAAAAGACGAATAAATAGAAAGAACAATTAGAAACGTAGTACTCTCATCTTCCTCACTTTCCCCACTCTTTTTTTTTTTTGAAAATCTTTACTCACAATTAGCCTTATTATAATAACCCATGAGGTTTAATGTTCCAACTAGCCTTGTCAAGACATTTGCTAGAGTGACTGTGATCGTTTCTTGTGGAGCTGGAAATAAGCACAATTTTCCAGTATTTTTTTCTCAAGTGTCACCAGAAAAATTATCCAAGGTAAAAGTGTGTGAAGTGTTAAAAAATTTAAATAGAAATTTAATACCTTTGGTATTCCACTCATACTACATTCGAGAATTCACTATCAAAAGTTGCTGAATATCTCGTTTCAAAACTAATTGCTGCATCCTACAAAGAGATTCATTCAAATGAAGAAAGTTCTGATAATTCTACTGCACTACTGTGGCTGTCAGGTTGAAGAAAGAGTTGTTGAAGAAATGCGTTGATACCACTAATGCACGAAAATTCACAGTTGTTAATGAGCATCTGTCACTTTAGGGAGCCTTGCTGCTTGGATTGATGAAAAACATATTACTACTTGGCTAACCACACCATATCTGCATTCCTTGAAAATAATGCACAATGCAGTAGTATTGCTAGCATTTACTTTTCCTTAATCAAAATGTGAGCACCACAGCCAGGATCAAGCCAGAGTATTTTGAGTCAGCAGCCGAGCACCATAAACCCCAAGCCACCATGGTGGCCTTACCGTTGAACTGATTTTTGGGAACCTCTATTACACCATAATAGATGGAATATTTCATCAGCAAAACTTCTGTTATAACAAATTACTTTGATTACACTATCCCCCCATTACAAAGTATTGAGCAATAATCACTCTTAATAGCAGCAACCAAGTGATGCTACTAAAGACTTCCGATTTGGAGCAATTTTTGGAGCGTCAGAATTTCAATTTTGTAGCACTTTGAAGCAGCAAAAATTTTCATCTCGGTACACTTTGGAGCAGGCAATTTTGCATCTTGAAGCACTCTGGCACAGCTAATTTCGCATCCTGGAGTACATGGGAGAGGCATATTACATTGACATTCTAGCCCCCAAATAATTATGGAGCTTTTATGATATGATAAAAATATTTTGATTTATTGCAAATCTAATGAAAATAATTCTCTCAAGAGCATCCACATATCACTTGATAATGCAAAAATGAAGGGTGTCATGCACTTGGCTGTCCTCAAACAACCTTGTCAGTGATATTTTTTCAAAACTAGCAAATAAAGTGAATACTGTACACTTTATGAAATAACACTCCAAATACACCTAGTGGTTATCAGCAGAAGTGGAAGACAAAGGCCAAAACATACAATGGTGCTGCCTCAATGCTAGTGTCACACTGTCGCTAATGTATTCGCACAAGATCAAGGGTGAAAGGCGGATTTCATCACGCAAGTATTGCTAGGCGCAACATGAAACCACCTAGCTAGGCGCAGAAAGCCAAGTTTTTCAGGCACACATTTCCTTCCCCTGTGTTTCCAGACTATGGCTTCCACATGTGCTTGGTTGCCTGGAAAATATGATTCACTTCAAAGGCCAACTCTGGCAATTTTTTTTTTTCATATGTCAAAGTAATAGTGCTCTCAAGTTCCTGAGACTAACTTCTCTAACTTCACTAACTTCTCTGTTTAAACTATATTATGATATATTTGTTGTATGTGCTCTGAAATGATGTGTTCCAGTAGTGAAGGTTCTTTTTCTTATGTTCCTCTTATGCACATTTCTGTTTTATACGAGTCAACTCCACTCCTGTAATAGCCCGCAAAGGGCTGACAGTATCAATAAATGAAATGAAATGAAATGAGACGCTCCTGTCATGGGCCTCATAGCAGAAACACTCGGCAAAGTTGAGAATATACTTAAATAAGCAAAAAAGTGCTACACGAAAATCCGACCACAATACTAGGGTGGCTAGAAGAAGGAGGTGTGAAAAGTGGCCGCTGAAACTGGTCCCCAAAGCGTGCCGATGCCGCTTGGAGCGCTGCACGCAGAGGCACGGGTACCCTTGCGCAGGCAACATACGAATGAGCGCGTGCTGCCCTCTGCAGAAATCTCTCTCACGCAGTTTCACGCAGGCCCATAGCCAGGGTGGGGAGGGAAGGGGCTAGGAGCCCCTTCTTTCCTGGTTTTTAGCAAGTGCCCCCCTCCTCCGGAAAAAATTTCTGGCTACGGGCCCGCTCTCACGCTATATGGCGGTCACCTATTTTCGGTGAAAACCTTTTTTATTGAGTCAATGTACGACAATACTTAAGCCACGTAATGTCTTACGTGGCTTAAGTATCTATATTTTCTCGCCTCTGAAAACAATTTTCGAGAAGGCATATGAGCGAGATCTGACACCAACTTTTGTGGATTTCGTAATATTGCGGTTACTCACCGCAGAACTGCAGGGGTGTTACGAGACGTTGCGATTACTGGAAGGCTTCATATTACTTTGGAGCATGTTAAGTTCCTTTATCCACGAGCAGAAACATCGGTACAAGAGCCTCGTTTTGCTGCTCCGCCGCGAACGCATAATCTTGTGCGAGTCGCAGCTTAAATTCTCACTTGGCATTCAATTATCGGTTTCCGAACGTAGAAGTTTTAGCAGCCTACAATTGCTCATTAACTTGGACGAGTAACGCTGTAAGAGCGCTAAAACTTACGTATGCCGCGAAGCCTGTGACTCGAGAATTGTCCCCAGCAGCAGACATAGAGGAGACACTTTTTTTAACAAGAACGTAACTTTATTTTCATGCATGCCAAGGTATTCATGCTCTGCCACTAGAGTACACGTGGCTTAACTCTCCACCCTTTCTTTTCATCTTCTTTTTGGTTCATGCCTTTCAAAAAAAATGTGGACACGAGTGAGGCAATAAAATCGCACCACACTTTTGGTCAAGAGAGCACCATGCTTTGGGCAGCCAATTTGTTGTGTCTCGCCAATCCCCTTCAGCATCTCTATGGCCGACTTGGCGTGAAGACGTGCTGAGCTCAAGAAACGAGTGATTTTGTCCTCAAGGTTCAGGATGAGAGTATAAAGAAAATTCGACGGATACAAAAGTCCGCCCAGATCGCACAACTTGCTTGCCTGGGTTGGGAGATTTCCTGGCACATTTTCTCTCGAGACAAGACAGGCGTTCTTGCACTTATCACAATTGTTGCTAAGTATACGCTTTCTCGCAACGTAGCCTGCGACATAATATACCAGGCGGGAGTCACTTCGCTCAGCAGTGTACGATGCATGATCTATCGACACTATCGGCACCCAGGCACAAAGCACCAACGCTGGGTCTTCTTTTTTACCGTTGACATCCTCGGGCATTTCAGAGTGATCTAGCGCAAACACTGACAGATGGCATACTTGCAATGTAGCGACTCCTTGCAAAGAAAATCCCAGCGCACCTGCAGCAAACACAGGGAAATGCGCCGCTCCCTACCCGTGCCGCTCCCATCAGCGCCCCTTGCGACATCGGCACGCCGAGTGACCCTCTCCAACAAGCGAAAAGTGCCCCGCTCATCACACCTCCCCATTCCAGCCACCCTAACAATACTGTCTTCGTGTTACGTAGATGTTGGCAAAAACCATGCAAGGTCTGCTGGTCCCTCCAACCGGAGTATGAAAGCTGCAAAGTCGTGGAGAGCAGACACTCAGGGGAAAGTTGACTCCATCTCAACAGCCGCACCACATGTGTTACTGGTCGTGCAGTGTGCACAAGCTCCTGAGAGCTGTCAGAAAATGACAACCGAGATTTGGACGCATGTGGAGGCAATAAATGAACGGCAACCGCTGGTTATGCATTATACTGTCAGATGGCACCACCTGTCCAGGCTGCTCAAAATTGTGGGGCCGTGATCAGTAAAATGCTATCGCTGAAAAGTTTGTGGACTAACTGAAGCTTTTTCATATTGCTATAGACGGTTTCGGTGTTTGTAAACAAACTGGCTCTCACAGAGCGGTCTACCTCAGCAGACTTCCGGTGCGGCACTTCCGGCAATGATTTTTCAAGGTCCCGGTGGTGTTTTCGTGGCGTGTTTGAGTTTGCTGCTCTAATATTTCTCGCACATTTCTTAGGATGTGTTTGGGGCAACGTCTCGCGGCTACATGAAGGGGCTCGACGTAGCGCACGGCTCGCGTGGCCAACGGGCGCCTAGCAAAATATACGTCGTGGCGCTCCGATGAGCGCGGCTCCCTGCTCCGTGTGGCCTGCTCCGAGAGTGGTCGCGCCTATACAAACAGAAAATGCATAAATTGTAGGAGACATTTGTCACCGAACTTAATTGAGCCAGTTGGTTCTGCATGCATGCCGACGATGTGGATGCGCTTTGGAGTCGCAGACCGGGAATTGACAGCTCACACCTGTCTTTTCCCTGTCCGCGTCTTAAAAGTGCACCCACCGTGTCGACATGCAGGAGAAGAGTTGCTCGATTCATAGTAGTCAGCTATTCAATTCAGCTTTTCGACTAGAACTTTAAACCTTCCTCCTGTTGAACCCCAAACATAATTCTGTTTTCGTCTGAGCATGCAA